AAAACGTGAATTCACTCCGGATACTGATATCAATTGTAGTAAAAAATTTCAAATCTTCGTAGACATACTATAAACAGCATTGTTCTCTCCAGATCTTTCCAGAGGAAGCACTATACTGCAGGAATGACTTATTCTTTCCGCAAACTGGTTTAACAATGATCTTCAAAAGATAAGAGAGCAACTGTACTTTCTGAATTCTATACATAGTCAGAATAAGACTAATAAGAATAAGACTTGTAAACAGTTCAATTGCTCCCAGAAAAAAAAGAACTACAAACCATCAAAATTCATGTGGGATATTGGTAAAAGAACAGGGAAATGGAACGATAATACACCAAAGGATCCAAACGAATTTCACAATTTCTTCTGATAAACTTCTAAAAATCTTTAAGAAACTTTTCTCAAGGTAGCGCGTTGTATAAATTGATTGACAATAAAAATTCTCAAGATATCTGCGATATGAACACTACGTTGATAAAAAAAATTATACACTTTATCGTAGAACCCATGACAAAGACTGTAAACCTGTGCGTCTTTCCGGACTGCTTGAAACGAGCAGTTGTGATTCATATAGATACCCAAAGATCACGACACAGACGATGCAAACCGATATCACTGTTATCTATGTTTAGTGAAATTTTTTAAAAATGCCTTGTGGGATAAATAGTATAGTACTTAGAAGAGATTGATTTGTTCTTTTTAACTCAATTTGGCTTTCGGAAACAAAAAAATACCATGTTCTGTGACCTTAGTAAACCGTTCGACAATGTCTCGCATGATATCAGAGAACTCAAAGAATACAGCTTTACCTCAACCTCAAGTTTTTTATGCAATTTCACTTGAGCAATATATCACAAATTGTTAAAATTGGATTCAATATAAATCCATCTAATGGAAAATTGAGCAAGCACGGTCAACCTCAAGGTTCAGTACTGAGTCCCGTGCTGTTTCTTTTTTTATCAATGATCTATCTTATAACAATGGGAATTATATTTTATCTGCAGACGACAGCACCGTCTCAGTGAAAAGTAATCGTATTTCTGAGCTTTAAGAGAAAGCTGAAATCATGTACTCGTCGCCAAACGCTGGTTTGATGAGAATAGGCTGACCACAGATCCAGATCGGCAGCGCCTATTCTCCCTACGGAAACATGGGTTCCGATAGTGTGTTCTTTAAAATATAGAGATGACTAGACAGAACTTTATAGATATGAGAATATACACGTATTCTTGTTAAGGGGTGATAGATTAGGTCAAAATCAGCCGATTTTGTCCTATAGTGTCCTATCCAGAAGTTAACCGTTTTTGAGTTATTTGAATTTTATTTTTTTTATTTTTTATTCCGATTTCAGACGGTTATAATTGAAATTCAAAAAAACTGCATGCTTTATTTTGAGTTTTTTGTTATCGTCGCATAGCAGACATTCCAACAGTTCATAATAAGTAATAAAATGTTGAAAAGCTACAAACGTTTTGAAATTTTTAAATGTATCATTTTCTTATTTTTTTACTAACTTATTCGATAAAAAATGCAATTTTCTGTAAAAAATCTCCTAGTAATGAAATGTGCAAATTATGTAAATAATAACTCTATCTCAAAAGCTTTCATTTGATGTATTAAGCGTTCAATTATCTGAAGTACATGCAGAGAAACAACAATGACACCCACAGAGGCTGGATTTTTAAGGAATTTGTATTACCTGTTTGAACAAGTCGTTACTGCCCTCAAAGGACTCGCATGCCATGATTGTTTTATGGCATCGGCTCGACGAGGAAGCGAGCGAGAAGAGCTGACTTAGTGGAGGAGTGAGAGAGAGAGAGCTGTTATTATTCATCATTGTAGTTACGCCATCGCCGCACGCCGAGTGAGAATTAGGTTTAGTTGGTATCAACTACTGCGTACGCGCACACGTTTTACGCACGATTATTATTTTCGAATTTCCCAATTCATTTTCTGCCCGCCAATTTAAATGGAGAAGTGTATGAAGAGTTCTTGAAAAATCACTTGTTTCCATTAATGGAAGACCTCCCATTGGCGACGAGACAAAATATGCGGTCCAGCACGACGGCTGTCCCGCACACTACAGTAGATTAGTACGGGCGTATTTAGACTCTAAATTTCCAAATCAATGGATTGGCAGAGGCTGGCCCATTGCCTGGCCAGCAAGAAGCTCAGATCTCACACCGATGGATTACTATGTGTGGGGACATATGAAAAGCCTGGTGTACGATGTTTCGCCCATACCAACTCGCGATGAATTAATTACAAGAATAATCAGTGCAGCTGACCAAATAAAAAGCCGCTTAACAACTAGAGTTACCAAAAGTGAATTACATAAGAGAATGCGGGCCTGTATTTGTAACAGGGGATTACAATTTGAGCAGAATCTGTAAAATACTAAAGGAAATGTAATTAAATAAAAATGTAATTAAAATAAAAGCCTTTTATTTATCCTACGAAATTATCGTTCGTACAACTTTACTCATCTTTTTTAATTTTGTCTTTGTACTTGAGTTAGTTGTAACTTTTATACCTCAAATGAAAGCTTGTTAGATAGAGATATTATTTACATAATTTGCACATTTCATTACTAGGAGGTTTTTTTACAGAAAATTGCATTTTTTATCGAATAAGTTAATAAAAAAATAAGAAAATGATACATTTCAAAAGCGTAATTTTAAAACTTTTGTAAGTTTTCAACATTTTATGCGACGATAACAAAAAACTCAAAATCAAACATGTAGTTTTTTTGTATTTCAAATTAGCCGTCTGAAATCGGAATAAAAAATAAATTAAATAAAATTCAAATAACTCAAAAACGGTTAACTTCTGGATAGGACATTATAGGACAAAATCGGTTGCTTTTGACCTAATCTATCATCCCTTAACAGGAATACGTGACATTACAAGTCACCCTGCATATAAGAGGTATTAATGTATTCTGAACAATATCTGAACACCGATGAAAGCGTTTATTACAAATACTATGGCTCTAGAAGTATGAGTACCTTGAATACTTTTAAATATAAAGGCATTTGTGGATTTACCTAAGTATTGTCCACATTCAAAAGTCTTTACTTAAAATTAACTTGCACCAGTGGCGGAGATACAGGGGATTAGTGGCATAATTTTTCCAAATAAAGATAATACAGGTACGCCATTGTTTTTTTTTTCAAAACGCGAAATTTTTCGAATTTTACCTTCAATTTGCTACAAATAATTACTCTTGTGTTTTCGCCTAGAGTACATTATTTTCAAAAAAATAAAAATAAAGCAAATTAGATCTTTTTTGAAGAGCTGAGATAGGATTAGTTTCTCAGAAGATAGTTTGTCAAAGTTATGTGTTGTTATCGTTACTACTATAGCTGTAGTCACCGTTCTTGGCGGTTACGTCATCAACGCCATTTTAAATAAGTAAACGGATCGAGTCTCCGGACCATGGGCGCAGACTAATCTTCAGCGCATCTGCTAATCTCTCCAATATGCATGACATGGGACCGCTGCTTTCATTCTCTTCCTGGAAATACTCTAATAAATTTAGCCATAGCTGTCGGCCTTCTTCATTAATCGTATTTCTGGGCATTGTACAATTTTATACTCAAGATTGATACCAGGACAACTAAATTTGCACGCCGATGTCAAGTAAGTTGTCACTCTGACAAATATGATTGAAGGGCAGTGATACGTAACGACAAAGTTTTCGAGACGGAGACACGACTGACTAAGAAACGTATGTCTTTGAGCTAACCGAACAAACGTTCACGCACAAGGGTAGGTTGAATGTGTATGTATGAGAGAGATGGAGATATATAAAGAGATACTGGTAGTCTTGCTGACCGAATCGCCAAAAACCGTGAAAAGAACTATAGATACGTGCCCAATAATAAAACATTTAACATTCATAGGTTGATTAGGTCGAAAAATACCTAATGTGTGTCGATAATTAAAAACATAAAGTTTCGTAAATAAGAACTGACATTAGAATTTCAGTTTTACGCTTTCAAAAAAAAAGTTGTCAAAATTAGTCACCCCCTATGCCTCCGAGTTGGTCTTCTTAATTTCAGTGTAGTGCATTTAAGTTCATGCGGCTGGTTCCTGGTATGTATCCCTTCATGTGATGAGTTTGTTAATTATTTTAGCTCTTAGTAAATAGTGTTTATGTTTCTAAACCCAAATCTTGATTTCGTGCAGGATTAGTTACAAGTCCCTTCCAATGCAGGAAGGTCACGTTGTCGTTTACACCCCTTTCTTCTTCGAGACAATACATTAATTACTCGTAAGTTCAAATTCGGCAACTGCCTACTGCGGTATCGTAAGAACGTTTAAAGCTTCTAATGTCCGATAAGCTGTTTTTTTTTTGGATTTTATACATATTAGTCTTTTTGTTATGCTATATCTATAGCTATATAACTTTTAGGGAAAACAAAGTAGTGATTTGAGAACATGAAAGTCGAATATGCTTTTCCTCGGTTGAAATTTGATTATTATCTATTTCACTCAGTTCCTTTCTCTGTCATCTGGGGAAATGTGGTACAACTAGTAAGCAACATCGGATAGCTGACCGACTTGGTATACTCTGTTTCTAGTTTTTGATGGTTCTTCAGTGCATAATTAGTATTGGTATTCACGAATTCCGACTGTCAATGACGTACCAAAACCAGACAAATATCAATCTCTGCGTGTTCACTGCAGTTACCCCTGGCATAATTTTTCCATCACTAAAATTGATGTATGCAAATAAATTATGCTTTTCGGATGAGATATTTTTGTTTGTAAAACTTTTTATTGAACTTGCATATATCAATCGGCTGCTCGGTCAATCGCAGAATACATTACGATTTGCAAGTTCCGCTCAATAGTTGTCCTCTGTGGAGGAAACTCCTTCCATAAGAGTACCAGTAAACAAGGAATGCATTGCATATATCATAGATATATTTATATGTATTATAAAAGTAAATATTATAATCAAATAAAAAATCTATATACAAAAATATAGAATATAAAAAATTGTATATGTATAATATCACATGAATCTTCTGCGTTTCCGATAATTTATTTTACAATGAGCATGTCAGAATTCAATTAGCGAAATCATATTTCATCCGAAATGTCGTTACGATATCATTCTTTAGAAGAGATTTGGAAATGTACCTGTACATTTCGGAAGATCTGAACAGCATCTTTCAAGTTAGATCAAAAGAACGAATGCAGATAATTTACGCCAGTAAAATAAGGTGGATTCTTTAATTCACCGGTTGATTCCACCACTGATGGATGCCCTGCTTATGGTTGACACTGTTGACAGCTTTGTATGGTGATGGCAGCAACCGGTTGAATTAAAAGGACAGATGTCTGGTCCACCGGTGGCACCGGTTGCTCAACCGGTGAATTAAAAAATACACCAATAATGATTGGATGTGTGTAGCTGGCATCATATTCTGCAGCTTCAGATTTATTCAGGTTGGTCACACTTGTACCGAGCCTTCTCTCTTCTTAACCAACATTTTCATGCAAATACTGGGAGGTAGTAAGAGTCTTATATCTACAGTTTTGGTCCACCATCTGTACCTGTTGATATCGTGTACGATCAATTTTGACCTTATGGTTAAATATACAGGGGTGTCTGCGAAATGTTGGGAAATCTCGAAACTGGAGATACTAGTACAAAGTTACACTTTTATTTTCTATTTTTCTTTATTGCTTGAGAAGTATTCAAGATATTTTGGCTTAAGACTCTAGTATCAGAAATAAGAATCCGTTATTTCTGATGGCTATACTTCTAGAGGGCGCCACTTACAGCACTATTTCTGTAAATAACTTATCATAACTTTTTTGTGCTGCCCTGTCTACAACAACTGACCGAAAAATATTATTTTCTCGTATTTCCACAACAAAAAAGGTTTACTTGCTAGAAGCATCTAAAGCTAATGGGTTTCGAGATATTTGTTCTTAAAAGTTCCAATGCATTATTTGTACCATGATGATGATAAAATATTTTTATAATTATAATTATTCGAATTGCTTTGGATAATATCTGAGTAGCGTTACTATGGTTTTCAACAATAACAAATGAGGATGGCAACAAAACTAATAAACGGAAATAATAACTATAAAAATTGTTCAAAATGAGCACCACCTTTGCCTAACACACTCTCGAGCTCGATGAACTAATCCTTGCTGCGCTTTCCAAAGCATTTTGATGTTATTTTTCATTTCCTGACTATGGTAGAAAATTCTTTGTCGAAGATCATCTACAGTTTCCACTGGCATATTGTAGACGCGCCGCTTTAAATCACCCCAGAAGAAATCCATAGGATTTAAATCAGGTGATCTAGCCGGCCGCGATACAGTGCATATCCACTGATATGGATAAACTCTATTTAGGTGCTATCTTACTAATATACTAAAATGAGGTGAGCCGTAGTACATAAACCAAATATTCATGCGTGGAGCCGTAGTACATAAACCAAATATTAATGCGTGTTTGTAATGGAAGATCTTCCAGCAGAGTGGGTAATTTTTCGTCAAGAAATTGTAAATACCTTTGGCCATTTATTCTAGGTGGTAACTCAACGGGTCCTATTGAATGATGTCCAACTATTCCTGCCCATAAATTAATTTGAAATTGTACTTGGAGGCGGGTTTGTATTATTGCATGAGGATTTTCGTCTGCATAAATGTGAAGATTATGCGAGTTAATGGGCCCATCCCTTCCAAATTCTGTTCCGTCCGAAAGTAATATTAACGAAGTAAAACCATTGTCGTGGTTAAACTTCCTTGAGAGCGATTTACAAAATTTTACCCTTGCGGGGTCATCATCTGCGCTTAAACCATGTACTTTTTGCAGGTGGTATGTATGGATCAGTTGCTCTCGAAAAATTATATTTACTGTACATTTGGAAACTTGAAATTCTCGAGCTACATTTCTAACCCCAACTGTAGGATTTTCAAAGACAGCATCTTAAACATTTTCTTCAACTTCAGCTGTACGTACAGTACTGGGAGCTCCACTATGTGGCCCATATTTTGAGCAAAGCTACCTAAAATCCAAATGGTTTTTACTACTTAAAATTAGGCTGTAATCATTTCTTACCAGTTTCTCATAACCCCTGATCCTTTTGTTGGAAAATCTTTGAATTAGGCAGGTGTCTATCAGGGAATCTGTCAGCGTACAATCTTCGTTCTTTTAAAGCATTACATCCTGCCAATCCGTACATTAAATGTATATTAGAATATTCATCAAACATGTTTTTTTTTTTATACTCCAACTACCACGAAGACCTAAGACCTAAGCACCCATTGGGTACCGTGGAGCTATAGGGGGATACATGGGAAAGGGGGGACGCCACATGGACTCTGGCGAGGGAACACGTGTGCATGCAACATGCACACATTCTGGCTCCGCCTACGAGAACCGCCGGGTGGTACCTCCGCGTTCGACAGTCAGAGACCATCTACCACCTACGAACAATCATAACATCCATAGCCAAGAGAAAAATTTCTCCTGTGACGGGACTCGAACCCGCACAGCGCACGGCGACTGATCCGACCGAAGAGTCTACTACTGCGGCCACCGCTGCTGCCTGTGATGTTTAACAACTTATTGTCAACTTAAAATTATTCATGAAGTGTAAAGCAATATAATGACAAACATTAGAAACCATAGCAACGCTACTCAGATATTATCCAAAGCAACTTGATTATGGTGTTATAAAAATGTTTTATCATGGTACAAATAATAATGCATTGGAACCTTTAAAAACCCATATCTCGAAAATTGTTAGATTTAGACACTTCTAACAGGTAAACCTTTTTTGTTTTGCAAATACGAGAAAATAAGATTTTTCGGTCAGTTGTTTTATATAGGGTAGCACAAAAACGTTATGATAAAGTATTTAAGTATTTATCGAAATAGTACTGTGAGTGGCGCCCTCTAGAGGTTTGGCCATACAAAATAACGGATTCTTGTTCCTCATACTAGAAAACCTCCCTACACCAAGTTTTATGTAAGAATCTCGCAAACTATCAACTTTTGGACTGAGATATGTTTAGGTCAATTCACATATTTTGGTGTGTAGTATCTGCAGTTTTAAGATTTTTCAACCTTTCGCAGATACCCTGTATATTACGCATTGCAGATCAAAAATAGTAATATTCTGACACAGAGAAAAAACACCCAGTAATAATGGATTTATTATAAAGATTTTCTGGGTATATGTTTGTTTAGGTTAGGACAAAAATCGATCAGCTTTTCAACCATATCATTCAAATGGGTATCATCTGTTCTTACGAGAAGGTAAGTGAGCGGTAGTTGTGTTTTATAGCTGCGATTGGCATTTAATCATAGTACAATACGTTGTGAAGAGCTGGCTTAATCTGTTCATTAAGCCTATAGTGAAAAAGCGAGAAAATTGATAGATAGTCTAATCATATTAGCAAATTTCCCTGAAATACTTGTAAAGTCTGGTTTTATCGATGCAGATTGTTCAGGGGGGTATTTGAAACATGGACGCATAAAATGGGTACAACAATGTTTGTAGAAAAACGTTTAATTCGATAGCAAGGATTGAGAAAATATGTTTTTTGGGATTCAATTGAAAGTGTTGACCGGAACGAAAAAACTCTTCAAATAAGATTTTTGGGTATTTATGAGGTCTACACGTAAAAAGATCTCACTAATAGTAAAAAAGTTATGGCTGAAAACCGAGGCCAAATGCAGGTTTCGGCACTTGTTGCTAATGCATCGATAATTTCACTCAGCTACTTGAAATTCTATAAATCTGTATGGTTCATACTTCTAAATAACCACAACAAAATTGGAGTCAATTGGTCAAATAGTTTTTGAAATTTTCTAAATGCTTATCCCAAAACACCTGTTTTCTGGCCATCACTACTAGTTTATTGAGCAATATACAGGGTTCGTTCAAAAGGCATTTTATAGCAAAATACAGCAGTTTACCTTACCGACATGAATCACAAGCTACTCCAAAAGATAACTGCTATTTTTATGCGAAAAACGAAGGGTTACGTTTTTTCTTCTCAACAAATTCAAATATTTCGTATTTGTGAGTAATTGAACACCTTCGCAATATTTACAAAAGTAAAGATATTCTTAGTTTTAAGTTAAAAAAGGTTCTCTGCGAAGCACTGGTCTTGTGTCACCTTAACTATTGCAACTTTGTGTATGGTCCTTGCTTAGATGTATTTACTAAGGATAAACTCCAAAAAGTGCAGAATTCTTGCATACGACTTATTTACCAGCTTAGACGTCACGATCATGTCAGTCATAAACTTTCCGAACTGAAATGGTTGAATGTTTCCAATCGAGAAAAGCTGCATTTTGCTTGCTTTCTTCATAAATTGATTAAAACTAAAAGCCCTCCATATCTGTTTGAAAAATTAACTCGTAGAAATCTGATTCACTCTCGTGCAACACGCTTTAATGTACTTTATGAAATACCTAAAATAACTAAAACCATGACTCAAAGCTCATTTTCCTATACATCAGTCAAACTTCTAAACCAATACAATATAGGTCAATTTGAAGATATGTCTCCTAATATGTTCAAACGAAAACTGAAACAACTGCTTCTGTGAAGTATAAGTTGTTTATTATTGCCTATTTTCTTTGTATACGTACATCTGTTGTTATTATTGTTCATTGTTGTTATGTAATATTCTAAAATTAATGTAATGTAAAACTTGTTTCTTGTCATATTACTTTTCTTTTTGGCTTGTTGTTACTTTTTACATGCTCGGTTAAGTTAACAGCACAGCTGGCCTTCGCCGAGTTTAAAATAAAGGCGTTTTTATTTATTTATTTATTTATTTATATTCTAAATACATACATTACTATACTCATTTTAAAATAAGTCGGATGTGTCTATCATCTTTTGTTGCGAAGATAAAAATGTGTTTTCAAGATTTCTTCATACTCTTGTGTATACATTAAGAGCGGAAATTTTTAGTCACAGATTAACCTGAAAGTTAAAGATAGCACGCAAACAATTATGTTTCAAACTGTCTTAGACTAGTTAGTTTGTAGCATGTCCTAAATGGCTGCATTATTGATGACTGCTTGACTTTGTCAAATAAGTAGGTCCAGTTTCCTTGCGAAGAAATATACTTGACCTTTTTTCTAAAAGTAGTAATATGGCATACGTTTGTTTTCAAAATCTCCTACGATTCAAATGACTGCGAGTTCAATATGTTAGAAAATAAGCTCGAGAAAATGAAAAACGGGTAAACAAATACAAACCAATTGTAATGAACTGACCCACTGAAAAATTAGGCAAAATGCTCGGTATTAGTCCCTAATACATTATTTAAAGCTTCAGCATTGTATCTTGTATAGTTTTCAAGAGTATTCTAATAGCTTATAACAGATTTGATAGGCCTCCAACGTTCGCTTGACATTTGTCAGTGTCAAATGAAGTGGTATGAAGATCAAGCAAACCAAGAGGCATCGTAGTGTAATGGGAAAGAGTAGCGATTGCAAAACTGCAGGACAAATGTACGAATCCACAAAGCTCTTTTATTTTCTATTAATTTATTTTTCAATGTGCAGAAATAAAAAACATATTACGTATACTTTAATTGCAATCAAACAGTTTTTCGCACGCCATAGACAATGTAAAGTTGCATATAGAAAACCAGCGGTATAAGTATAATTGTATAAATTCTTTTTATATTACTTTGATAAAATCGCAGAAACACATGTCGGATCATAGCAGATACTTTTAAAAACATACATCTTAGATGTGTAACTCATAAACCAACAATAATGAAAGATATCCGAAATTTTGATTAAAAAGGCAAATTAGGCACCTCTTGGAGCCGCAGAAGATACTTATAAAATTGTCTGAGCTAACCCACAGTTTTTGCACTTGTCAAGTTACTGTTGCGCGTGGTTTCTCATTTCATCAACAAGCCTACCAAAACAGACTTATACTGTATTAATAATTTTAGAAAAAAGATCCTGGGAATTATATTTCATCGTCAAGAAACTGGATTACGTGACCTGCATCTTTGACAAAGTCACGCAGTCATCAATAGTGCAGCCATTTAGCATATGCTACATAATAACTGGTCTAAGGCAGTCGGAAACAATTGACCGTTCAGTCTGCGTGCTAGCTTTATAAACAGATCAGCGCATTTCAGCATAAAATATTTTTTTATAAACTTTAAGGCTCATCTGTGACCGTGTAAAAATTTCAGCTCTCAATATGTATACACAAGAGTATGAAGAAATCATGAGAAAATGTTCTTTCTTCGCAACAAGAGATAATAGACACATTCGGTTTGTTTTAAAATGTGTGTAATAACATATGTTTTTCGAATATCGCAGCGAATCTGATGAATTACTCACAAAAACGAAATGATTGAATTTGTTTAGAAGAGGAAAACGTAACCCTTCGGTTTTTGCATAAAAATAACAATTTACTTTCGGGATGGCTTGTGATTCATGTCGGCAATGTAAACTCTTGTATTTTTTATAAAAGGCCTTTTGAATGAACCCTGTATATATCAATAAACTAGCAGTTTTGGGATAAACAACTAATAATTCTTAAAAACAACTTGACCAATCGACTCCAACTTCGTTGTGGTTATTCAAAAGTATGAACTCTACAGACTTAATGAATTTCAAGTAGCTGCGTGAAATAATCGTCGCCTTAGCAACAAGTGCCAAAACCTGCATTTTGCCTCGGTTTTCGGCCATAACTTTCTTAATATTAGTGGAATCTTTTTACATGCGGCATCATTCTGTAGGTCTGATAGATACCTAAAAATCTTATTTGAAGAGCTTACCGTTTTTGCCAACCCTATTGATTGAATCCCAAATAACATTTCATTCTTCGTTATCAATTAAATATTGATGCACCCATTTTATGCGTTTATGTTTCAAATACCCCCTTGAACAACTTGCACCAATAAAACCAGACTTCACAATTATTTCTCAAACCAGGGATATTTTCGTCTAATATGATTAGACTAAGGGGGTGAATAATGGACTTGTGTGTGACTGGTTGGTCCTTTATGGTGCACACGAACTTAAATACTGTGGTAGTTTGTTGTCGTGTATAGAATTTTGATCAATTGCTTGCCTGACGCTAACACATACAGGGTGGCGCATCGAAAACGAAACAGACGCATTTACTGGCAGCTCAGTTTTTTTTAAAAAACGCTCAGACCCGTCGATTTTGTTTTCAAGGGCGACACATGTATGGCAAAAAATCACGTTAGCACGTGCAGCCCCCTAAGCGGGGGTGACACCACCCCCAAAATCTTAAATGGAAAGGGGGGACGAGTGATTCCTTATTTTAAAGGTCTTTCAATTCCCTTTATAATGATATAAAATTAATGTACTTCAGTTCAGTAGTTTTGAAGATTTATTGATTTAAAGCTTAAATAAAACCAATACATCATCATTAGTGGAGATCAATACATTTGGCCAGCAAAGTAATTTAAAAATGAAGAATGACCTGACCCGTTAGGCAAGTAAATATTGAAAATGGCCACCAGGACTCTCCATGCAATAACAAAGATTTTGCTCAAAACGTTGCCACACATTTTGCAATATTTGAGGAGTAATTTGAAGGCACCCATTCACAATTCTATGTCGCAGGTCTTCTAATGATGTTGGCTGAGTAGCATAGATTTTGCTTTTTAAATGACTCCACATACAGAAATCCAAAGGTGATAAACCTGGCGATCTTGGGGGCCATTCAATGGCACCTCGTATACCAATCCATCGATCTGGAAACGTCTGATCTAAATATTGTCGAACAGGTAATGCGTAATGTGGTGGGGCACAATCCTGTTGGAACATCAGCAATATACCGCCGATCATTCTGATTTTCGGCGTCATGCAGTAATTCCAAATACATTTCACCGGTCAAATTTCCAAGTAAGAAAAAAGGACCAACTAAATGATCGCCAAACATACCAGCCCAAACTTTTAATATTTGTGGCTGCTGTGTATGAACCTCGTGATAAATTCTGGGATTAGAAGCGGACCAATATCGGCAATTATGACGGTTTACTACGCCATGTAAGAAAAAGGAACATTCGTCGGAAAAGCAAAAAAAGTTCACCTTTTATCATTCGTTCACTCGTATCTTCACAAAATTGTAATCACCGATCAAAATCGTCTTCATTAAGTTCTTGTACCAGGTGAATTTTATACGGATGAAAACTATGGGCCTTTAGAATCCGTTGGACAGTACGTCGACTAACACCACACGCAGTCTCCAATTTGCGGGTACTTAACGTAGGATTTACATAAACTTGCCCTAAAACCCCCACTTCTATTGCTTCGTTCCTTATGGGATTTTCAATGTTGCGTTTTTTATTGGCGACTGACCCAGCTTCCCGAAATTTAGCTACAAGTTCTAGAACATATATTCGTTGCACGTGACTGTTCTCATGTCGCTCATTAAATATTTTTGCTGTTCTATTAGCGCACTGATTATTTCCAAAAAATATTTCGATAATTTCAAGTCTTTCTGCTGTGTCTGCTGTGGAATATAACATGGTTAATTCATGTAATAAAACGTTACAAGTTATTTTAGCAACAAAGTTTGGTCAAAAAAGGCTCCAATAGCTATTTTCAACAACAAAATGATAAACAAACCAATGGCGTAGTGAAGAAAAGCATTTACATATTAAGTAAATTCTTTTAGTCGAATTTCTTCTGAAAGTAGTACAAACTAATCTGATGTACCTATTAAAGTCTACTTGAAGCTTTAGGTCAATAAATCTTCAAAACTACTGAACTGAAGCTCATGTATTGTACATCATTATAAACGGAATTGAAAGACCTTTAAAATAAGGTATCACTCGACCCCCCTTTCCATTTAAGATTTTAGGGTTGGCGTCACCACCGCCCAGGGGGCTGCACTTGTTAACGTGTTTTTTTGCCAAACTTGTGTCCCCCTCGAAAACAAAATCGACGGGTCTGAGCGTTTTTCCAAAAAAAAACTGAGCTGCCAGTAAATGCGTCTGTTTCGTTTTCGATGCGCACAAGAAATGTTTGTAATAAATAAATTTTTTTTATGTCAGTTAGTATATTTAGCTATCTAGTAAGCAAAGTATATGATTAAGATATATCACAGTAAGAAAGGCTGCTACAATATTTTCTAAGAACTCGCATTACTTACCAAGGCAGCAGCTGATCCCTAGCGATTAGGTAGATAGTGATGAGGTAACCGACCATTACAATTAGCAGGAACAAACATATAGTCAATCTGATCCACTTGCGCTGTAAACCCACCTTGCTGCCCTCTATAACAAAGTATTCCATGCCAAAAAGGCTGGACGCTATCAAGCCAGATGTCACCAATGTCAACAGTGACGCGATGACCAAGTCTGACTTGAATTGACGCATGTTGCGAGGATGCTTGATCCACAACCGGATACCTTCGCATAGCTTGTAGCGTTTTGTTTCAATGGCACTGTATCTGAAAGATAAACATTTTAGTGAAGAATTGTTAGGAATGAGGAACAGACTCCGCAGAAGCCTTATGCGAAATGGCTTTCGGATATCTGTTTCATAAAGTAAAACGTGTTTTAGACCTCAATCCCAGACCATAAGTATCCATGGGCGCAAAGCTTTTTTTCCAGGAGTGTTCGGGGTAAGGATTCCCAGTTGGGATATCCGTATATACAGGGTGATTCACAAGTCGTGATCAAAAATTAAACATCATACACAGGACCGTATTTCAAGGGGGTTCTTCTATGTAACATTTTTCCTCGAGGGCTTCATTAAAAACAATGATTTTTAATATCTTCAAAACCGTCAACTGGAATGAACTAAAATTTAGGGGATTAGTGGCATGATTTTTCTAAATGAAAATGGTACGCCACTGTTTTTTCTTTCGAAACGCGCAATTTTTCAAATTTTTCTTCAAGTTGCTACAAATAATTACCTCCGTATTTTTTTCCTAGAGTACTTTATTTTAGTAAAAATAAAAAACAAATTAGATAATCAAAGTTTTATTTCATTGATGTTCAAAAAGACCACGATTCTGATAGATACAAGGTGCGGCATCTTTTTAATGAATAAAAAAGTATTTTCACAAAATTTGTTGTGGCTTTAATTTGATCATTATACATTCTTTCTTGTAACTGATCAACAGAATTCATTTGTTCAGCATATACTAGCTGTTCAAAAGCGCCCCACAAAAAGAAGTCTAGGGAGTTCAAATCAGGTGACCTCGCAGGCCAATGTATGCCAATCCATCGTTGTCTAAAACGATTTCTTAACCATGCGGTTATGTCACGACGAATATGCGGTGGGACACCGTCGTGCTGATACCACATTTTTTACTCTCGTTGCCAACGGAACATCATCAAACACATTTTCTTTGTAACTCTCTAGAAAAGCTAAGCATGCGTTTGCATTTAAACGTTGTGGCAATACGTGCAGTTGGACATTTTATTGCCGAAGTCTTAGAAATGAACGCGTAAAAACCTTTGGGGTAGATTGGTGTCTGTTAGTAAATCCATGTTGATACTCTCGAGAATTAGCTGAAGCATTTCCAATACAGAACCCGTACACAAAAATACTCATCATTGCTAAATTCCATTCCATCAACTCTCAAAAATAGAAAAGAGAAACATTTGACTTGACTTCTGGAACAACAAAAAGTGATAGTAGTAACGATAACAATAGTATAACATAACAACAAACTGTCTCCCAAGAAACATCAAGTTGGTACCAAGGCCTTCCATTTTATTTTGAAGCTAATCGTATCTCGGCACTTCACGAATAATCTAATTTGTTTTATTTTTATTTTTACGAAAACAGTGCACTCTAGTAAAAAAATAAGAGTAATTATTTAAAACATTTGTAGGTAAAATTCGAAAAATTGGGCGTTTGGGAAAAAACAGTGGCGCACTACTTTTATTTGGAAAAACGGTGCCACTAATCCGCTGTATCTCCGCCACTGGTGCACGTTAATTTTAAGTACAGAGTTTTGAATGTGGACAGTACTTAGGTAAATTCACATACCAAATTTTTGTTCATTCCAGTTGACGGTTTTGAAGATATTATAAAACATTTTTTTTTTGTTTTTAAACTTCAACATCCCGTATCTTCTTAATGAAGCCATTGAGGGAAAAATGTTACATAGGAGACCCCCTTAAAATGCGTATGATGTTTCGTTTTTAGTTACGACTTATGAATCACCTTATATATAAGCTATCTTTAATTTATTTACGCTCGTCTAACCATCCCTAAAGATCAGATGATCAGCACTGCAATTTTATAACAGGTGCTGGGAGGCCCAATCATCCATAGATGAAGTTTTGCTGCTGGACAGAATCGTTTTAGGATACTGTTTATGATTATTCTGTACCATCCCCATGTGAATACATTTTAAAAATATTCAGAGCTGATTACTGAACTGGATATCAAAGTTCAATTTTTCAGATATACTATACCTGCCCATATTCTTTATTACATATCTGAATAGACCTAAATACTGTTAGATCATATAAAAACGCAACCTTATTGACGTTTCCCTGCTTCAATTCCAAATTCCCTGTGACAAACTGATAATTTTTGTGAGTACATACACAAGCTTCACCACTTAAGCATGTTTACATGAATCAAAGTCCATAGCGGGGCGTGTAAAAACATGAAAATGAAAGTTAGGGCCTTAGCTGTCTTCCACTGGATAATGAATTTTTAAGAGATTATGTGTCGCACGTGTTGAAATCAAGGTGTGAGTGATGAATTTTTATTTCACGACTGAAATTGGAAGGATCGAAAAGGTAGGTTGTACCTTTAATAAAGATTGAAAAAATCTGCTCATCATACCTTTTTTATAGTCTGGTAGGTTTGTCTACTAATTGAGTGGTTGTAAATACAAAACGTTCTTTATCATCAACGAATGACTTTTATACGCTCAGTTCTATGATAAATTAGGTTTATTATAACTATCTTATTAGGCAGACAATCGGTGCATTGTATCATTAGGATTTGAAAGACATAACTGCCACAAAGGTGAAATAAGACAAACCAGTATGTTACTTATAAATCTTAAAATTAATACACAAAGACTGTGAAACGATTTGTAATGGTTGATAATGTATTAATAAGTCATTTGGGTAAATTCTCGCGATTCTTGCAAAATCAGCAGATAACTACATTTTGCAAAAGTAATATTCCAAGCTTGACGATTCAGTCAAAACATTGTCCGCACGGGTATTAAGTATCATGAAAAGTGACATTTTGTCGTTTTTTTTAACAAAACGTAGGTTTTTCTACAAGACGTTAACTTAGCACTAGCTGATGGACACTTGTTGTGAACTCATTTTGTAGTTGTACGTGTTGCCTAAACGTCATGACGTTTCAGTTATGATTTGGTATGTGATGTAACATGGCATTATTGGAGGTCTAAACTGTAAGTTTTATACTACAGCTGGAAGGAAATGGCAGTGCATAGGTGCATAGTGAGGATTTGTGTGCGAATATTATGTGTTGATGATAATTCTATCGGTTTCTTGTCTTAAATACACTTACTTGAAATTTAAAGCTAGAAATTGGTTGCTCATCCACTTTTTCTTATTTATCCTGGAATTATATATGCATATTTGCTGAATTTAAAAAATTAGAGACATAAGAAAAGACAATCGGTGATTGATGATGAATTATTTTTTATTTCCGGTTATTTAAATATTTATTTTGCGATGTCAATAGAAAATACAAATCAGCGCCAAGATGTGAGGCACTGCAAAAATGATATGTAATGCGTCATTCCTAAGTTTTCTGTGATGTGGCTTAATTGCGCACAACGCGGGCGCGGTCGCGATTTCCCGTAGTGCTCCTCAATGTTTTTGAAAACAAAAAAACGCGAAAAATCGTAATTTATTCACTTTGAACATAACCTGTCTTCAGAAAGAACAACATGTAAATAACCCGTCGGGCACAGCTAATAGATATACCTCATTGGCAGCATATTCAGTAATAATTTTCTCACTGACTTTATACACGTGCAGACCAATGCACATAATCATCCAGTTGCGATTTTGCTACTCAAACAACTTTCTTTCTTTCACAACTTCGCATAAAATATACTTGCTTTCTGCAACCAACAATGCGTGTCGTTGGGTCATTCCTCCATGGATGGACGCTCACGGCGATCGTAGTGAGCAAACGTGGAATGACCTATTTGCACCCTAAAAAGTACCTAATCTGCAAGATGACACTTTGTCGGCTTTTTTTTACGTTTTTTTAGGTACATATTTTAAATAATAAGCGCACGGCTATTATGTCAAAAACCTGTGCCGCACGGGTATTAAGTATCTTGAAAAGTGACATTTCTTAGGTTTTCTTTGACATTTCGTAGGTCTTTTAGGTTAGCACGAACAGTTGTATAATTTTTGTGACCTCGTTTCGTAGCTGGACGTGTTACTTAAACGTCACTAAAACGCACACTAAAAACTACCTAGGTTTTTTACATAATGTATAGAAGTGACTCAGCAAAAGTGCTGTCTGGTGAGTTTTCAAAGTTGATCATTCCTAGTATTCTGTACCAATCGGTAAAAATACATTTCTTTGACAGGAATAAAAAAGGTTCTTGGTAACTTTGCTGTAAGGTAATAATTTTTCAGTTACAGTAATTATTCATATTTTACACCTTAAAAAGCAACCGTTACTCCATTTCTCAAATTCAAATTTTTGTAACTCTTGAAAACAATCAACGGCAGACAAATTTTATTCCAGCCATTTTTTCCGACGAATGAGCGGTAATATCTCGACAAATGTAAAAAGTTTATTCTTAATTAGTTTTTTAGTCTGGCCGCTTGGCGTGGAGGGTATATTGATCCTTATTCGGTCCCACGTCACAAACGTATCCTTGAGAAAAAAAATAAAGAATTTATGTTTACGTGTGAAATGGATAAATATGTTGTTTCAACAATACTCCAAGTCAAACGTAGATTTAGGCTGTGTTCTTATACGCTGCTCCCAAACTATGATTTTCCACAGATGTACATTACTTATGTACAAGAACAAGGCGAACCCATGTTTTTCCTATTACGGCCAAGCAGCTAGGGACATTGTTGTAGTGCTTTTGGAAACTCGGCGGCGGCAGTTTTCTTGTTCATTAGTTTTAACCCGAGTAGGAAGGAGAATGCCGGCCGGAACAAAATTACTAGATTTATTGCAGAAAGCGGGAACGGACGAGTGGAAGAGAGTGGACCTGTAGTTTACTTCCACTTCACCTCCTTCAGGGAAATGTGTACACAAAGTTTAAGTGCCCACTTTAAAAATAACGATTGTTGTTTGGAAACACGGTATCTTCATACAGGAATTCTTGGCATTCTCTAGGTGCTCTTGCACATTATAAAACTTCTTAAGCAAGCAAGATTTTGTCATATTTATACAATTGATGTTTTCTGCTTCTCGCGCTAAGTGAACATGATGATTATCTATAGAACTGCTAAAGAAGGCATGCAATATTATTAATATAAATTAAGAATGTGCATGGAATCAAATAACAAAAACAGAAATTCTGCAATTATCTCTTATCTTTTCTCATTGTCGGATTCTTTGTTGAGTATTCTCAAGATTTTCCTTACGATTCCTCTCTTGATAAGCTTATACCTATGTACTTTAGAATGCCCAAAGCCTGTAGCTAACTACTCCTATATTCAAACTGAACCTGCTTCTTGTATTTTTAGCTACCCCACACCTGACACCAAAATGTAGCAGCATAGTTTAAAAATCGTCAAAAATTTTAGCATAAAGTAATAACCAATGAGAGATGTATATAGGCTGTGAACTAAAGGTATTTATATCGCCTCATTAGTGTCGAATAGACAATGACGACCTCTACTATTTTTTTATGAAAATGAGGTTTTTAAAGTCTAAGATACTTATGTTACGAACTGGCGCATGCCGGTCTTTAATATTTGGTGAGACATCTTGAAATGATATATATATACAGAGAGAGAGAGAGAGAGAGAGAGAGAGAGAGAGAAAATGATCATGCGGAGAAAGGTATATAACAAAAAGTAGAAAAATAATGGCAAAATCCGCAAAAAGGGGGAAAGTGGATTCGAGCAGAAACTAGGATAGATAACCCGAGCGATACGTATTCCTGCTGGTTTGGTTCATCTTTTTGTTATATATATATATATATATATATATATATATGGGTGTCCGCAAAGTTGGGGTTTTCCTTTACACGACGTGTAGATCTTGAAAACATAAGCAATTTTTCTTAGTACCATATATACACCAATGCCTTAAGGGAACCGAGATAAAGGGCTCTGCAACATCAAAAATATCTGAATACCGTCCTGTAGCCGCGACCCGCGACATCACCACCACACCACACACCAAGTGGTACAAGGCCACTGGCTCAACCCGACGACAGAACTGGGTCGGGGTCAGTGTGTCAGATCAGTATGCAACCTTCAACCGACGGTTACGGTCACGCGTGTAGAGGTAATCGCGTGGACGAGAATCCCTCAACAAGCACTAAAGACGTGGCTAGAGAAGTGCAAGTATCAAAAACTAAAGTGTGGCAAACGCTGCGTGAAGAGGGGCTGTATCCATTTCACGTCCAACGTGTACAAGCACTTCAACCTGACGATTTTCCAGCAAGAGTGCGGTTTTGTGAGTGGTTGTTGCATCAACATGACAATAATCCGGACTTTTTGAAGTGCATATTGGTGACAGACGAATCTACGTTCACGCGTAATGGGGTGAATAACTTTCGCAACACTCATGTTTGATCAGTAGAAAATCCCAACTTTGCGGACAGCCTGTATATATATATATATATATCACAGTTCTGCAAGGCCCTAAAGGCACATGACTTATAAAGTACAGTACCAAAATCGTCTTTCTGTATCTTTGTCCATTTACTCAGACTCCATTCTGTAAACCACCCTTCTCCATGCATTTCGGTCCGCAGCCTTTTCTCTCCATGTAGTTACTCCTAACATCCCTAAATCCTCATTAACACTATGCATCCATTTCTATCTAGTCCTTCCCCTCTTTTTCTTTCCTCCCGTTCCTTCTATCAGTGCTTCTTTGGCATGTCTATTGTCCTTCATGTGAGATACGTGCCCTAACCATCTAATTCTTTGACTAGACTAGACTAGACTGATTTTAGAATAGATTTGTCGCCCTTCTCGATATACCTTCACCAACTTTAACCCCCCCTCCAAAGATCCTTCTAAGAGTTTTTCTTTCCCACACCTCTAATTTAACGTTGTTTTCGTCATTATGCAGGACTCACATCCGTACATAACTGAAGGCTTAACTACCGATCTATATAGCCATATTTTTGCTGCTATTGATACATTTTTCGCTTTGAATATTTTTTCTAGAGCTCCAACCGATTTGCTCTCTTTCATCAGTATTCTTTTAATTTCTGCAGATGCATCACACTTACTTGTACTTACCCCACCCAGGTAATCAAATTCACTCACTTTCTCAAAACAAACTTCTTCCTCTTCGGTATCCTGGTTCTCAATATATTTTGTTTTATTCTCATTTATCCGTATACCGCCTGTACTTTGTCCCTAGATCTAGTTACTATTACTGTTTCATCGGCATATACGTATACAATTACATGATGCCTGCACTGATAGAGCATTCCTTTTGTTTGGATGTTTGCTTCTCTTAAGATAGCTTCTAAAACCAAGTTGAATAGAATTGTAGATAACGGATCTCCCTGTTTCAAACCATTTCTCATTTTAAAGTTTCTTGAGAGTCTATCTTCCACGCATATTTTGCTCGATGTTTCCTCCAAGGTGAGTTTTACCATAATTTTCCTCGGTATTTATAGATTGGCCATAGCCTCGTAAAGTTTTTTTCCTTAAAATAGTGTCATATGCTTGTTTGAAATCGATGAAAAGCATGCATAGTTTCAATTACTGTTCTTGACTTTTATTTTTAATCATCTATAAAGTAAATGTATCTCATGCCTCTTTCGGATCCCAGCTCTCCCCACTTTTGCATTGAGAGCGGTTGTTATTCAACAATTCGTCAAAATGCTCATCGTTCCAGTCGCTCTTGCTGATTATTCAGTAGATGGCCTTCCTTATTTTTACAGTAGTTTCGAACTCTTTTCTTGTAGCTACTTCGATCTTGAAGTGATACTAGTATAAAATTATAACTTCAGAAAGCATCCACTCCAAACTGTGGTTTAACAGTGGTTTAAAAATGTCATCAAAATCAGAGTGGTATGCAATCCTTCGTCCATTGTAATGTAACGAAACCCCTTAACTATGTTTAATATTACCTGTACATACAAAGTTCGCAGTAACTCCGACTGGACTGATTCAGCCATCGCTCCAGGCAGGACAGGTGCACGTAGGCGAGCGATCCCTTGCAGTTACATGGCGATATTAGGCCCTCGTTAACCGTGTTTGTGTGGCATATCCTGCAAACTGTATACAGAGCGGGTAGAATCAAATTAGGAGAGTTGGTAGAAATATGGGATGTATGGTGTATCTACTAACCTTGCTAGAAGGTTGTGTGAGGGAACACCCCACCGTTTCGTTTAAATCTTTTTGGTTTTAAATATTAAAAATTGCAGCATGTTAAATGTTTCACAATTCTTGTTTCCTCTAATACGATCAACGATAAAATTTTGCCTGAATGTAGGGCTTAGAAACTACAATCAAGTGAACCCTTCGATCAGTGACGTGATCTAATCCAATCAGCATGACAGCTAAGAAACAGGTTAGGCGGTCATTTGGTCGCTCTGCCTAAAGCGTCCATAACAGCCTTGCACCACAGTATGCGCCAATTCATGTAGTATTAGTTATATTTATTTACTCGATGAATACAGGTAGCATAAAAGTGGTAAACAAATATAATTTACCCATGGGAGGATAATGACTTGCAATGAAAACAGGAAAAAAACAACTATATCATTTCGTTCCTCCGGAATGATAGTAAGACAACTTCAAGTATACCATTTTGACATAATGGCTTTTTTAATATTCATTAGGCTGTATTTTTTATTATTATAAGAGGTAGTGCGTGTTATAGAATATTAGATAACTATGAGTGTGTTACAATACCATTAATTTTGAGCTAACAGTTATTTTCTTCTATAGAATAGTTTAAGTTGTCTCAGTGTAATACTGGAACTCCTTAAAAAAATCTTCTTCTTTTATTGAAAATGACCGTGTGTTATAAGGAAATTTTGCTAATATTTTTAATAATATCTTTTTAATGTAACTTGCTTCACTATTGCACTAAAAATTCTATGTGAAATCATTTCATGATGTTACTATTCTTCTACAATAATAATTTTTATAAAATTTACCTGTTTGTTTAATAACTGTAAGAATTTCTATAAAACAAGAAATTCGTGAACATAAACTTTATTAACAATAAAACTTAATTAACTCGCATAAACTCATTTAGACGTAATTAGGTTTGAGTATACAAAATAAACATCAAAAGTGGAACAAAAACTAAATTTAAATTATGTTTTTCGTTATTGACTACTTTTTGTCCTTTCTTATAGGCTTTAATATTTCTGTAAAAATTTCGAGGCTCTTCTGGTATATGTGGTAATAAAGAAAGTACCTAGACTTTTTTCTTGTATGAAATTTTTTGTTCTTCATAGGCCTCTTGCAACTCTGGGTAAGTATTTCTTTGTACTTCTTTAAATGACTCTTCTTTCTAACTATTTTTATAGTATATCAGGTTCATCTCTTGTCAAATGAATAACTTTCATTTTTCCCCAAGCAACTTTCACCATTTGTATTCAGATTAAACTGGCCATAGTAGGAAGTTAACATTCTCTAGTCAATAACGTCATTGAATTTAAAATCATTGACGTCGTATGGTTGACCAGTTCTTTTATTACTTTTCAGGAGAATACAAGGATATTTTAAAATGCCTTAGTATAGTTGCGCAATCTAACAGTTATTTTTTATACTTATTAAAAAGAAGATAACCTAAGAATCAAGACATTTTATATTATTTAAATAGAACTTCAGAATAAAATTCTATATTCTTACACAAGGGTGGACCGCATAGAATAGTAAGGAAGGGGAATTAAATATATCCTAGTTTATGACTAGATAGAACGTTAAAAATTGCCGCGGATTCAGTAGCAATCCCAAAATTGAAACTTTTAAGTTGTCTTACTGTTATTCTGAAGCGACAATTGTAAAATTGATAGTAATTACTGTGTTCTATTTGAAATTCTTCCATAGATGTTGTTGCTTCCAAACATGTTACTCCGTTTTTGGATTTTTTTTAAGCTTAAGTATTACATACTTGATTTAAGCCATTTGGTGAATATTCGTACAATTTTGGATCTAAATACAGGTGACATCACTTCATCATAGAATTGTTTGGTTTAGGAACATTTTTTGCGGGTAATTTGTATCGGGTGATATGACTATGTTTAATTGTGTTGTCCACTAATAATTTTGTGATAAAGGGTGATAGTATGTATAAAGTTGTGTGGTATTAAATATTTGTGAGTCATTGTACAAGTCATCAGTTGGGTATAGTCCTGATTTTCCAAACACTGATTTTAAAATTGTTCTTTGAAGCACGTCTAAATCGTTAATATACGTCGACCATGCAGCGCCTCTTACCACTATACCGTTTGGCATGTGTGGCTCGACTAAAGCTTAATATTAACGGCACGGGTGTTACTTATCTTGAAAAGTGACATTATGTCTGTTTTTTGACATTATATAGTTTTTAGTGACATGTCTTAGGTTTTACTACAATATGTTGACTTAGCACTAGTTTTTGTACACTTGTGAACTCGTTTCGTAGCTATACGGTACGTGCTGCCTAAACGTCATAGTGCTTCAGCTATCCATGTTTTTCTCTGATGTGATGAAACACCTGCTTCAGAGATGACATTATTGTAAGTTTAAGCTGTAAGTTGTATATTATACAATTCTAGCTATAGCAATAGGGAACGGCAGTGTGCAGGTGCATGGTGAGGATTTGTGTGCTAATAATCTGTGTTGTCAATTCCATTGTCTCAAATACATTTATTTGAGATGTGTGTAAAGGTACAAATTAGTTTCAAAAAAAGAGCGATTTCTGAAGTATGTGTATATTATAACTAACAGTTGAGAAAATATGGTATATACAGGAATATTTACGAAACGTAAAAAAGTTAATACATTTCACATTAATTTTTGCTTCCAGTCATTTAAAATTTATAGAAATTTATTTTACGATGTCAAGTAGAAAATATAAATCAGCGCCTAGATGTGAGGCAGTGCCAAAGTGTTCTGAGTTGAGTTGTTCCTCCATAGATGGACCCTTTTCGATGACGATCATAGCGAGCAAACGTGGAATACACTATTTGCACACTAAAAGCTACCTAGTCTGCAAGATGACATTTGATGTTTTTTTCACGATACTTACATAATACCTCTGCCATAGAGAACGTGTGGGTACGTGTGCCAGAAATATATTGAAAAACAAGAATCGGTGAAAGGAACGCTCCAAGATATGGATATTGTGACACATATGCTCGACCAGGTATTCTTGAACAGAGAATTGTATTACATTTATATTTTCATTTCTAACAGCCTACCGATGACATTCCAATATAAACTGGGAATATTCTATTCTAGTACTGAAAGCTTAACACTTGGACTAATCTGTGAAAGCTAATATCGATTACAGGCATTCTATAAATGCTGTTCGATGTCAGTGATTACTTCAGTGATGATAGATAACAGTGACGTGGCCATAAGTGTGCGGTCGTTTTGCTAAAAGATTTTAACTATTAGCTCAACAGACCATCTTGTTCTGCACATGAAATTGGTAGTCAGAACGCCATATTGAAGCTTTTCGTCCAGGTTCATTTTATCCTGGCTATTAAATAAAACCTTATATGTTAGAAACAGTAACACCATTCCGGCTGCTCCAGTATTCTATATAATTGTACAGACTTGAGAACTATGAAATAGATCATAAAGCTGGAAACCTATAAAATTACTATATGTCGAGTGTGCCGCCTGTAGAAAATACTGTAGCTGTTTATTGATAGAATTTTCAACATATGTGGTAGCACGCCAGTTCCAGTTGTTGAACTCCCGTATAGCAAAAAGTCATACTATACGGGAGAGTAGCTTAATTTTCATAAATGTAGTTTTTTGTTTCCTTTTGCGTTGTATATACATATTGTTGAAAGCAATACATTTACACAGTTTTCGTAGTCTAGAGGTTCAATATGAACGAGGCTGTCGGAAGACACAAATCGGATGCATGAATAAGCCCTTCGAAGATATTAACTCTGCAAAGCACTGCACAATACTCTCACATTTCCAGGTACAATGTTTGTTCATTCACAGGCTGCTTAAGTGCGCTAGTTCCAAGTAATGGCTCCTGAAACTTGATCGGTACTCAAACCAAACGACCATTTCAATATGTAGGAGCACCGCTTTAATGCCAATATCTCTTATCTCATGATTTCAATCAGAAATGACGTTTACGTTCACCCTACGGTTACTGCACCAACATTCAAGCTCTAATCCAGTCGTACAGGGAATAAAGGAAAGCGATTCATGTAGCGTGAAAATCTTAATTAACAATATGTAACAACAAAGTCAGGAAGAGACCGCTGTATGTCAAGCATTGTCGAGACACATTTTCCCTCGACAAGGATCGCCTAATGTGCGTGCACCTGGAAGGAATAGACCGCGGACTAAATCTTCTAATAAATAGTAATAACTTTATAAGAGTTTTTTTTGTAATACCTCATTAGCTATTTGAAAGCCTCAAAAAAGTTCACATTCGACATTATATATCAACAGGTTCACGACGTTTTCAATGGCAAATAGAACATTGTTCACTATACTGCCAGAATCAGCGGTGTCAAGCGGTCATGACATCTACTGTAAACATTTTTTGGTAGATAATAGACCATTTTAAGCACATATATAATGCAGTGAATGTCTGATCTAGATGAGAAAGAATCTGCAGGGTGTTGAAGGTGAGTGTAGGATATCACTGGATCTTTAAAGTGATTACACACATTAACGGAATTAAACTCTTACAAGAAGTTTACCGTTTCCAGGTATTTTGTCAGAAAGTACATTCATAGTAGCAACATCCAAAGGTCGCGGCAATATGCGCTGCCAGTAAGAAACCTTTGGTTCTAACCTTTGGAGAAAATCTTTGGGCGGGATCTTTGGAAATTGCTACAATGTCCTTTAAGTATTGTGCGCAAAAAAGTACGCTAGCTTGATCTTCACTAACCAGTAATTTTCATGAGTTGTATCTACTCGAAACATGCATGTAAACAATAAAGCCATTTTTGTAGCGGAGAATGCATTGTGTATCTTTGTCCGATTTATAATTACTTGCTCTTAAAGAGCATACCAAAAGTTGAAACCTATGTGATGGTACTATATTCACGTCATCGAATCGCCTTCCAAATACAGGC